AAGGTGGTTTTTTGGGGCAGCCGCGTATAGCGGTTGCGGTGGTTGCGGCGGGACTGGCGTATAGCGGTTGCGGTGGTTGCGGTGGGACTGTCGTATAGCGGTTGCGGCGGTTGCGGTGGGACTGTCGTATAACGGTTGCGGCCTTTTAATTTCTCAATCATTTTTTAAGCTTTGAAATGATTAGTAAAGTAGTTAGGCGACCGGCGATGACCACAAATTAAAACTTCAAATGAGAATGAGAGTTGACATGAAATTGACAGCTGGTTCCAAATTTAAATTTGGTCATGTCATTCATCCAAGTTTCCGGCAAGGAATTCTTCATCGTAGTCTCGCAGCGGCGTCTTGGCTCATCGGTGTCATCACGTTGTCGATCACCTCCATCATCAGCATCGTCGTGGAGATCCAAATTGTCTTCTTTAACGTCAACTGGCCCGGGATCAGCATCCTCACCGTCGTCGTCGTGGAGATCCAAATTGTCTTCTTTAACGTCAATTGGCCCGGGCACCCTCCGCCTTTTCTTGGCCTCCCTCCGCCGCTTCTTCCTTTGCAGGTTGGCTTTCCTTTTGATGTCACTATTCACAAGCCCCCTCTTCCTAGCCATCCGCTCAATTTGGGAGCCAGTAGTCGGGGTGTAATTCTCCATGTCAAACTTCAGGAGATCGCCTGAGACAGAGTCAGAATTTGCAAAGGGGTCTGAAATTATATATTGTAAAATATTTAATACGCTGTCAGTCAGTACACAGACATTTCAATTTGATTATATTTGATTAGATTTGTTTTTCTTTTATTGTCACTGATTACCATCATTTCCCATGATCTTGATTGTGTTTGAACAATTTCATCGTCATGATCACATAAGAATCCAAGTTACCAACAATGCTCAACGACTGCTTGGCTGTTGGTGTGGACATCAATTGTCTCCAGACATTACTCAGAGTTCCACCATATGAATTCCACCCTTTTGCTGTGCAGTGCGGGAGTTCCTGCCCAGGTAATGGCGGGTTGTCAAAAGCCATCTTTCCTTCTAGCATCTCAAACCTAGGCAGCAAACAAAATTGCACCTTGAAAAAAACAATGTCTCAACCAACATCAATGCAAAGCAAGACCTTTGATAGAAAATTATCATCCAAGGTTCAGCATGCAACCAGCTCCCCAAATATCATTTCGTTCTGAACAGCGGACTTCTTCATGCCAAACATCACCCGGCAAGTACTCCGGAGTTCCACATGGGCCTAATAAAGCTGCGGCTTGGGCCCTGGAGCAGCACAAGCCAAAGTCACCTAGTTTGGCAACACCAGAGGTGAGGAAAACGTTGGCCGGCTTTATGTCAGGGTGGACCATGTCGTGGCTGTCATGCAGGTATCGTAAGCCAGAAACCAAGTTCGCAAGAATTCTTCCTGCAAATGCTGGTTCCACTCGACGAGCCGCGTGAATCGCCCCATGCAAGTCCCCTTCCAGTAGCTCCATCTCTATGTAGCGTATCCGCTGTGTACCTGTGAGGCCAATTTTGACTAGTCTTTCAATGAAGCTGAATGTTGTTATGCGCAAGTATTTAATTGCAAGTAGGTTGTCAAACTGATTCAACCATATTCAACCCCTTGCCTGAACCTGGACCAGGGAGGGTTTGAAACATGCCAGAGTCATAAATGGGTACTAGATTGGGGTGCCGTAGCTTGTACATGGTATCTCGCTCCTGCAGGGCTTGGAACTGTTTGAAAGAAAACATAGGACAATAATTAACTTTTGATAATCTGTCGATAATCTGTGAACTTTTAGGTCACGAATCTTTGAAACTAAACACAACATCAATGATTGAGCCAGCTGTCCTCTTTAAGGGCATCTGTGTCATAGTCAAGAGACAGCTTCAAGCACCTCTTGCTAAGGTCTGCCTTCTTCACCACACAGAAAGCTGCCCCCATACCTCCTCTCGCTAAGAGCTTGCAGCTGTCATACTTCTTGAACTTCATTACCCGGTTCTCCCACTCCAGCTGGGAAAATTCATCATCGTCATACATGGCGCTGGCTGTCCGGTTTGATGGTCAAAGCTGATGATGTCAGTAAACTAATGCATCAGTGGTTGCATTGTCACCCATTGAATTCTGTTCCTTAGTATCGTTTTTGGTGAGTGTCATAGATGGTTAGTTGTCACTGTGTTTGTCATTGTCTTGGCTTCTGTGTCTCAATGTTACTTGTTGTTATTCAAACTAATAAGCCACAATGTCAAAACATGAAGTGCTTGCACCGCTGAAACACCAATGAAACAGCAATGACAAAGGAAAAACCTTGACTTAAATAACAATAGGGTCAAGAACCCAGTCCCCGACAAAGCCCGGCAGCGTTGCTGGGCCTTGCTGGGCACAGGGATCAAAGACCCTCAATGAACTCAGCCCTCAATGGACAAAACGTATTTTGTTTGCGAGACGACCAGCTTCTTTTTTTGGACGGGCGCAATCGCAATCACTACCATAAAACCGAGGTCGCAGGTCACCTGAAGGCAGCTGGTTTTGATTTTTTGGGGGGCTGGGGAGGTTCATTCAATGATATAACGCAGACAATCAAGCAAAAGAAAAACAGTGCAAAAAAACTACATGCCTCCTCAATTAGACAAGTTGGCCAACAACTTCAGTCAATGTGACTTCAACTCAACAGCATTCAACTCAGCTCACGTATTTTTGAACCCTCGCAGCGCAACGCTGTGTGCCCCATCACTCCCCCATTGGCAGCTGTCTAGCAGAGATTCAAGTCGTAGTCTTAGTGGCGCTGTCAATCCACAGTGACATAACCTTTTTCAATGATGAGATCAACAAATTGGACTTCTGGCGTTTCCCAACACCACCAAGACTGAGACCAAGACCTACTCAAACTTTGTCACATGTCCAGACTTCTTTTTGTCTAGCTTTGAAACATGGTCTATGAAGGATGATTTCGTGAACCAGTTGTCAGGCTGGCCATCGCCGCACTCACGGCTGACAGCAAGAACGCTTGCATCCACAGCAGCCATCGACAACTCCCACTTGGTGCCACGCATCGATTTCACACCTGTTAACATAAAAACAACAAAAATTGGACAATGCTCTGATTATTAGGGATTATAAACATACAAAAAAAGTTTGCAAAATACTGCAAATACACCAAAAAACATTAATTTGGCAACAGCAAGGCTCGATTGATCAAATTGAAAATGGCCCTGTGACTGTCTTTGAAGTCCCTCGTAATGTGTAGCTTCATTTTGTTCTTCCGGGCTGGCTTAAAATACAAGAGCAAACCACCTTTGCCTTGGATTGCAGAACTGTCCACAACAACCTTCCCCATAAGTGACCCAATCCACCGGACACGTTCAGGGGGTTCAGCTGCATCTTGCACCACAAAGCCATCGGCCATCCACCTGTCTGTCGTCACTGACAAGTTGTGCTCCGCCAATCTTCGGAGCAGCTCAGGGGTCTGCGACTCTACCCAAAAGGACATGCCAGACCAAGCCTCCCAGTCCAGTGTCAATTTGGTCTTCTGTGATGCCCGCTCTCTCCTTTTGCGATCTGCAATCAGCTTTTTGTCATTCAATGCGTCTACATCCTTTCGTTTCATGAATTCATCCCTGAGATCATCAGTCAGGTCCAAGGTGCCAAATTCAATGGCCTCAAGCCTCAGCTTCATTTGCTTGTCTTTCTGAAATTGCTTCTCACCCTCATGCCACTCACTCCATTCTGCACTTTGCTCAACTCCTTCAAGGTCCCAGTCCAAGTTCTCAACACTTTGAATGGCATGGTCAACTCCTCGTCTCCTCTTCCGCAGCCATGCTTGTATGGTGTTTGGCTCACCATCCGGAGTTTGCCTTTTCAGGCCCTTGTCAATGCGTTCATCTGTTCGATCCCGTCCTGCTTTGATCTCAAAAGATAACTAAAAGAAAATACTCAGAAAATAATATCTGATTCAACCGAGATTTGAAAATCAAAGCATTCCAAACAAAAACTCCTTGGCCAGAACTGCATTCAGAGTACAACTTCTGTGCTGCAATGCAAATCAACTTCTTGTCAAAGTTGCCACAAAGTAAACGCACTGACCTTGATTCAAACTCCTCAGACGCTCCACTTCTTCCTGTGGAGTTGAAGTAGTCAGACTTGCTGAAGTTTTGCTCCAAGGCTGATGTGCTGGCTTGCCAAGCAATATATCGAAAAAGCACAGGCTTAAGATTCTCTGCTGGAAAGTTTGCCTCCCGCTTCATCACCCTCTTCAATGTTTCACACCAAGCTTCCCGGTTTCCACACTTGGTCATGCTTGCTATCCTGACACATCCAAGTCAGTTGTAAGAGGGTTGCCAAAGATAGGACTGAAGAAAACAAGAAATCAAGAAAATTAAACAAATAATGTATAAACCAATCATCAGCAAGACTCCTTGAAGCCATTGGCCGCAAACGCTGAAGCTCAGAATACAAACCATGCTCATTGACCCCAAACGCCTTTGCCAAACGTTTTGCACATGTTGTATCATCAACCGAGAACTCAGTCACAGCCATTGTTGTCTTAGCCGTAGTCTTAGCCAATCCAAAGATGCCCAGTGAAGCAAACAAAGTATAGTCTGGCCATTCCGTCCGAAGAACTTCCATGACTAACTTCATCCAGCATCCCATTCGGTGGAACAAACGGTCCATTGTCGCAGCAGCATTCGGCAGCCTCAGTCGATGAACCTGTCCTTTGACAATGTAGGACACGTTTCCTTGTTGCAGGAGGTCTGTCATATACTTTGTGTACCCGGGTGTTGTCAATGCAAGGCGATCCGGGCCAAACAAACCATGCAGTCGATCAACCAAAGCCTGTATGTCTAATGGTAAGCTAGCGACATCGACGCTTTCAGCGTCCACAATCCTTAGAATTGAGTTGAATTGAATGATAACAATTACAATAATCACCAAGTTGTTTTCAAAACAAACATCAGAATCAGGTAAACCCAAAACCAAAACCTGCAAAGCAAACCCAACATTTACTAATAACTAAGGCACCTGACAAGCAACATTGTTTCGTCCAGCCCATCAGCGAGTAATGAGAGCTGTAGAAGCTTCTCTGCTGTCAAGCCTTGAAGAAAGGCTTTGGTCTCAGTCGCAATATTGTCAGCCCTGGACTCACAAATCCGCTGCATAGTCTTTAGGAACTGTGGGAGATAAAGGATACACCTCCCCATCGGTGCCGCCAAGCTCTCAAAGCGGTGCTTAGCTGCCCTCAGAGATTTCATGTTTGTCCCAAGCTCAGGATCAGCAGCTTCAATCTCCTCAGTCAAGATCCTCTTTAAGTCCCAAGAGTTGTGCAGCCGCTGCACCACTGAAGATTTGGCTGTGACAAACTCATCAACAATAGAATCCAAGTACTCATCACATTTGAAAGGCCTTGTCATCAACCGCCTGAAACTGTGAGCTTTGTCCCTCCCGATCATCTTCAAGTTTGGAGTCAGCGCAGTTTCCACGGTGTCTCCTTCAAGCTTGCTACTGCGGTGACCAGCCCCAATATTGCTCGCCAGGATTTCATTAGCAGCCGCATCGGTTGTCAGCAATTCAATGTGTTCCCTTAGTCAGTCAGTCCAGATCCAATCACAAAAGGTGTCACATGGTTTAAAGCGCGATTCAAAAATAAAAACTGCAAAGTAGTTAGCAGCCAGGTACCGAACATAGTTGAAGAGTTCCTCATTGAAATAGGCCGGCGGTCCGTGATACCACCGTGGAGGCGCCCCCCAGGAGGTACATACCCGCTTCAAAATATGTCGAGTGGCTTTGACGATCTCACCCGCATTGTCCCCAAAATCCCGAACTAATCCCAAGATGCCGGCATGGCTGTTTCCTTTCCCATCACATGATCCAAATCGGATCAGGAGGCGCTGGCGTCGCGCGTCCCTGGTCAAAGACAAAGTTTGAGCATTTCTGAGATGCTCCCTAATCCTTGGCTTCACTAAGAACGGTCACACAATCAAAATTTATGGTAAAAAAATGTCAATCCCTACAAAATAAAGATCAACTTAAAGAAAGACTATGCAAACACAGAAAAACTTCAGGCCAGTATCTCACACAATGCAGCTTCTTGGAGGCTCCAGGCAATGAGAGCGACTTTGTCTGAGAAAGATGATTTGGACGTGCCTCTGAGTGAGGATCCCGATTGAAGTTGGTCTAAGACATCTTCAAACTCTGAAAGGGCGGGGGCCCCCGCAGGCCCTGCGTTCACTTTCAACATCTGCTTCACTGCCTGGACATGACTTTTGCTCTTGGCATGCTTGGTAACAAACCAAAGCCGCAGGTCTTTTACATCACTGCCTGCAGTTCCATCAGACCATGCCCCATTCAGCGAAGCTCGGTTGCATGGGATGCAAAGCAAACCAGTCTTTGAAACCGCGAGCCAGGATTCCTCAGACAGCGTCTTCTCCGCTACACCCAGGTGTTCCAAAGTAGAACCATCCAAGCAAGAACCCATCACAGTATTCTTCTGCCAGTCACGGACTTTCTTGGCCAAAGCGGCTGTGTCGACTTTTGTAACAGGTTCGTCGTCGCCTGTCGGTTTGTCAAGTTTGATGTCACTCAGCCGTTTTTCTTTCCTCTTCTTTGGCTTCGGGGTGATCTCCTCCTTGGGCAATGCTGGCAAACAGTGGGAAAAGGACATGTCACTTTCATCTTCCATAGCTGCAGCAAATGATGTTTGATCAGAAGATGTCTTACATTACTTTTAAGACAATAATGATGATTGACTGCTTGTTGTCCAAATCTCGTGTTATCAAACAACTTGTGGTTTAACAGGCTCTCGCTTGCGCCAGGTCATTCGTAATTACCAACAATGATAAGCTCGAAGCCAAAAGCACGAGGCAAGACTGAGTCAGTCACAGACCAGGCACTGACTGTAACAATCAACACGCACTGCAATGCAATCACATCAGTTCATCAGCCATCCTCATCAGTTCGGTCTCACCTCACCGTGACATATTCCTCAAAACACGACGAGTCATGTCTTTGCTTGGTTTGCAAGGCCATACACTATAATGTATGGACAACGAAACATCGCAAGAAAGTGTGCTTCAAGATACGTTGCCTTGCTTAGATTTACAACTCATGGGAAAGTGCACGACAACACACTGAGACTGGTCACATCACGTGAGCCTCGTTGACAAAACTCTTGACAGCACCAATGCGCCCATCATCAACAAAGAACCTTGCAAAAAAAATGCCGTTCAAACAAGCAATTGAGATTGGCAGCAAACCAACCAGTGACCCAAACCAAAACTTGAACATGTATAAATCATTAAAAAGACTTCAGATCTACCTCCCAGCATCCAATCAAATCCCAGCACTTATGCATAATAAGCATGTTTTGGAAAACGAGACCCTGAGACAAGTCCAGTGTCAATGACTGTTTGTTGTTGAAATGTTGGTGTGGATCAAAAAATGTAGACAATACAAATCACCACTTCACAATGACAACCATGCAAAATCTGTTGAACCACTTGACCAGCAAAGCGCACCTCCAAAGGTGAAGGCCAGCGCGACACCACAAAACCTTCTACAACACATTGCTTCACTTTTTATGATGAATTCCATGATATGCAACATAATGTTTCAATGACTTGCTGGCCTGAACCCTTGTCATCCCAAACCCTGTTTGGTCTCAATGTTTGCGCAACAATAAGCTAAACATTTGTATTGAATTTATTTTATTGTCATACTGGGCCTCCTTGGGTCCCGGATCCCGTCAAAGCCCTGCAGTGATGCTGGACCTTGACGTGGAAACCAGTCCCTTAGAAACCCGGAATTATTCCGGGTATTAATACTAACAGCACAAACACACAGAAATTCACGCAAGTAAAATAAGACGTTTAAAGTGGTGAGGCCCATAAAAAGGCAGTAAGACGATATGAAATCAAAGTACAGGACATCAAGACTCTGAGACTGCGGCAGTCCTTTGGCTCCAGGTGGGATCAGGTGACAAGTTTTATGGTGTGTGAGTGTCAAAATTCTTTTCACAAAAACAGTGTTTTCCAAAACGGTTTGGCAAGTGGTCATTGTTTTGCATTTTGCCCTAATTTATGGGATATGAAAGGTGGCCTTGCAGTGGAAGTTCCCAGGCCTTGATATCCCATTCGATGATGCTTCATCACCTGCGGAGAAAACCAATTTTAAAAAGTAGTTTACCTCAAGTGAGATGAACCAGAAGTGAGATGAACAAAAATGCAATGAACCTGCCTGTAGTCAATGGTGGCAGTTTCTCAGTCAAGGCATGATCAGAGCGGAAATGTGATGACGGCAAACTTCTAGTATTAGTCGCACATCATCATCATCATCATACAATGACTTTCTATAGAGTTTGTTCGACACTAATCAAATCTCATCTCTTTGGCCCGGTGCAGAGGTAAAATTTAACCAAAGCTTAAAAGATGTTTTTTTTAAAGAGTTTTGTTTAATTTAAATATCTTTCAAAATTTTAAGGAAAATATTTAATACCTATAAACATCCAATGACTTGCAGCCTGTCTTATCACTTCTATTTTGTTGCAGTGAAAGGATGAAGGCCTGTCTTATCACTTCTATTTTGCTGCAGCCTGTCTTATCACTTCAGTTTGTTGACCAACTTCTGCAAATGAAATGGCGCCAGCTGCAACTTTGAGACTACGACGATTGAGTTTGCAATTCTATGACAGCAACAGCAGCAACCACTAAACCGGTTGCGTTTTTTGCGCCGTATAACGGTTGCGTTTTTTACTGCCGGGTTGCGTTTTTGTATTGGTTGCATTTTAATAATAATAGGCTTTCCAGCTAATAATATTATCAGTTTAAAAAGCCTCACAACAGTTCCAATAAGACAGTTACAGTTTTATAGTAGTAAACAAGTACACAGTTTACAAATACTTCCCACCCGTTGCGCCTTGTTCAAGTTTAATCTTCATAAGTCTCAGTCAGGATCGCATGTCCAATCGATTGATCAGCGTAAATATATAAAAGTCCATCAACACCAAGTTTCTCAGCAAGCTAAGTTTTCCAAGTGATGTGTGTGTGAATAAACTCTGCTTCAAAAATACATGGATTTGATTGAGTTTGATTATTTCTTTCGATTTTGTGGTCTTATGGTTTTGAGATTTTGATCAAAGCCTTAGAGTCCGCAGGAATGTGGTGGTTTGTCAAAATCAGAAACTGGTTCCAAGTTGATGTTTTGTTTTTGGACTTTGCTTTGTCGTGGTCAGAAAATTCATCAACGTTTTCACACTGAATCATTCACATTCTAATGCATCTGAAATACGGTACTTTAACATCAGTAACGTGAATTGCAACAACGTACATAACAGAAACTCACATGACACAGAAATGATTCGCACATCATCTGCTCCCAATTTTCACTTAAACTCTTTGAGTTAGTGTATCTCTTTCTTGGAAGCCAATTCGCTTCACTGGTCAGCCCATGCGCGGAATCCCACATCCGTGAGCCTAAATGGCAACGTCAAAACTGCAATGCAAAACTGAAATTAAAACTGAACCCGCAACTGAAACATGAACAAAACGTCTTGAACCCAGACCTGAAAACATGACTAGCCCTGCCAGACCCAATAGCCAGGATCCCGGCCAAGCCCGTTAAGACGGGCTAAGCCGGGCTCGTGACGGCTGGGCGAGGCTGGGTTTAATCATGTTTTCTTGTTTATTTACATGTTTTTGCAACTGCAGGTCAGTTCATTGTCAAGTTCAGCCGCTTATCATTTTCCAAGCGCAGTGCCTCTGCCTTCGATCCTGCGGTCAGTTTTTTTTACTGTTTGCCTGGAAGGGGCTCAAGCATATATGTCAAGGATCCCGGCAAGGAGCCATCGTCGTCACCAGCTCCGGCAGAGACTCAGCCATCGTTGTCGCCAGCTCCCTGCCTCTGCCTCTATCCTTCACTGTTTCTTCTTGGACTTCACAGCGGCCGCCTTGGCCTTGGGGGTGGCTTTAGCTCCAGGCTTCACAGCGGCCGCCTTGGCCTTGGGGGTGGCTTTAGCTCCAGGCTTCTTGAAGGGCCTCCTCATCCCTGCGCCAGTCACCGTCTTCTCCTTGCGCCGCTCAAGGTCAAAGGTTGACCCTTCGTCGTAATCAACCTCGGATGGCTCGTAGGTGGTGAGGAGACCATCATCGTCATCATCATATCGTCCATCACCGCCTTTGCCACCTTTGCCGCGGCCTTTTCCCGCTGTTCCATCACCATCCTCAGTCAACCATTGATTAATTTAAAACCCACTTCAGTCATCAAACCCACTTCATCAAGATGAAACTGAGTCAAGGCACTTGGTCATGGCCGACCTTTTTTCGTGGCCGCGCCCATTCCTCCCGCGCAATGCCGTTCTTCCGGTCCCAGCTCAAAAACTTAAGCCTCAAGTGTCACATCGACGACGACGAAAGCCTCGGCAAAATTGAAAAACATGCATGGTGCAAAACCAAAACTTAGATATATAATTTTTGGATCCAGGCTGCTCATAGCCCCACCAATTATTCGTCCTCCATCTTCTGACGTAGGTCTCGTCGATCACGTGCTTCGTCACCGGTGGCATGGCGAGACCGGTGGCACAGGCTGTCTCAGCTTGAACCTCTAATTTTGAGTCGGCCCGGCTCTTAGAACGACAGCCTTCCAAAATCACATATCACGAAAAAATTTCACGGTGTCTCCTTCAAGCTTGCTACTGCGGTGACCAGCCCCAATATTGCTCGCCTATCAATCCTGTCGCTCACTATTCGCTGAAACACCAATGAAACAGCAATGACAAAGAAAACACCTTGACTTAAATAACAATAGGGTCAAGAACCCAGTCCCCGACAAAGCCCGGCAGCGTTGCTGGGCCTTGCTGGGCACAGGGATCAAAGACCCTCAATGAACTCAGCCCAAACCAAGCGCGTGCTTTTCCAGACTCTGCGGAGAAGTCAGTGAGCCCGTCAGAAGTCAGATTGAACTAAAAAATGCAGCGGTCAAGGTCCGTCCAGCTGGTCCTTTTCTGTTAAATCAACGTGATGCATTTGTATAGATGAATTGACAAAGTCTGTGTCTGGTTCGTCGTGACATGCGACAAAGTTTAAACTCCACAATTTTGCTTGCCTTTGACGATATAGATTATAAACTTCAATAACAAGGTTGACGCCAAACATCCAATGAAACAGCATCAATGAACATCAAAGACAGACATCACACCATCATAAGACACGGAAGGTTGTTCCACTTAGGTCTAGATCGGTTCGTGCTCCTTCACAGCTTACTGGTCGTCATTGGCGTTGGGCGCTGGCTCGGCTGCGCTTCAAAGCCGCGAAGGCGCCCACGCCATGCACCTGGAGAGATGAGAGCAAGAATTAATGATACCGTTTTTCCCACCCAGGCATCCTGGCCCTGGATTCATCGCTAGGATTCTTCAGACCCTAGGATTCTTCAGTAGTTTTCTTTATCCATTAAATTAAATAATAAACACATAGACTGAACCACCGCCGCAATCGGAACTAGCGCACATTTTTCTTATCTTCTGATATCGATCTCAGCGGATCTTAGCGCATTTGCACGGCTCCAGGCAACTGTCCAGACAAGGTGAACAATGCTTTGACCTTTCCATGGAGCCTCCGCAGGTCTGTATCGATTTCAGCGGCCATCGTAAACAGCAAACGCTTCGTCTCATCC